TCCATAGCATTCTCCTTGTTTGGAAGGCTATGTACCATATCTGTATCTGCCAGCCCTGGGGAAGCCAGCGATTGGGGTTCTGTCTAATGCTAGTAAACCCCCTTAGGGCAGTCATTTTGAAGGAAATAAATTGTTGGGAGGTGGGGTTGGAGCATGGAGCTAACTGGGAAAACTGGATTTTTGTGGCTTTGAGACAGGGCAGTGCTAATATGGCTTTTTCACATTCCTAGTTCTTGTTGCTTCCTACTGTTTGTTCCCCTGGACTCTATATAGCAGTGATTTTCAACCTTGTTACACCCAAGGTACTCCTTGGAAACTGCTAGCTCTTTGTTTCACTTGATTCTTTTTCCGTAGTTAAAAAAACAAAAAACAAAAACCCAAAACGAGCAGTTTTTCTGTTGCAAAATATTCAGACAGTCCATAGCAGGTCAGAATGTAATGCTGTCTATTCCTGCAGCACCCTGGCTAGGGATCACCTCTATGTAGGAGTGAAACAGGGTGGTCAGCGTGCTTCTCCAGGCCTTGATTTCCTTCCTACTCCCACCCTTGAGCAGGAAAAGATGAGGAATTTATTTCCCACTGGAAGCAGCTGAGCACTGAGCAGATCTGTTCTGAAGAGCAGCACAGCCACATACATAGTTACCTTGGGTGAGGAATGGGAAAAGGCTGTGCTGTAAGCCTGGGTTAGGGAATGTTTTTGCAGCTCCAAAGGTCAGGACAGCACCCCTGGAAGTGCTGCGGAACTCGGGAGGTGAACTGCAGTGCTATCTCTGGGCCAACACTCCTTGGTTCTATGGTCTTTGACAAGCTGCTCATTTTGCTCTTTGTTGCTTAATTTTACATGGATATGCAGGCCTAGAAATTGAGAAGCTAGGTCCTAGAGCAAAGAGGAAGGTTTTGGAGAAAATCTGAAGTGCTTTAATAGCATGTTTGAGAACGTAACTTGGGTGAAAGCTAGTGCAAGAGACCCATGGAACTCATCTTCCCCTCACCTCCAGTGAGGTCCCGTGGCAAACAGCAGGGCCATCCTGAGAACCTGGAATAGGGTTCGAGTTGCATATTGCAAGGTACAGTGCTGGTTGGCTTGGGAGAGCTGCAGCCTCAGCTTCCAACCCACTCTAATGGGTGATGGGCAGGCAGCTTTGCCTGGTGCAGTGCCAGTGCACAGTACTATCACATAAGCTAAAGGTGCAGTGCAGTATCTGGGAGCAATAGTAAGCTCTTAGGGTCTGAGCTGTGTGATATTGGTGAATATTATACCCCCAGGTGCCATCTACTTACTTGCCGTGAGTCCCAAGCTCCTGTGGAAGAAGACGGTGGAGACTGACCAATGAAGGTGGAGCCAGAGATGGTGCATACCATGTTGCTTGTGCTATAAAAACCCTCTTGGCTCATTATGCAGAAAGGAACTGCAAGCAAAGGCCCATCTTGTGCCAGTGTTTGTCAGCTGAACTGCATAGGAAGGGATGAGCAAGTCCCTCTGCACAGATAGCCCAGGTGGGCTATGGATTTGGCCCCAGCAGAGGCAAAGGGGCAGAATACAAACTGAGGTGTTCATCAGTTTTGGCCACGGTCTTCATGTTCTTTTACCTTCTTGGGGGTAATGTTTAGTTATGGGAGCTTTGCAGGGAGAAGTATTGGAGAGAGAGAGAGGGAATATGGGGAGGCAGAGCTTTGCTAGGTGTGTGGGGATGGCAAGTCAGGATTGGTGGCTGAGTTACCCAGTTGGAGCAATAGTCCAAGTTTGGGCAGAGAGACCAGAGGGCTATAGGAAGTGTATGTGTAGAGAAGGTGGGGAATAAGAAAGGTGTGCCTGGCTTCAAAGGCTTCTGCAGAGTTCTTTCTGTGAGCCTTGGGTGCCGTTTTGGCTCACTGAGGTTATAGGCAGCCTGTTGATGAAGAGTTCTGTTTTCAGTAACCTTTGTCACAGTGTGGGCAGACCCCTGTTGTGGGCCTGAGGGCTGGTATGCCTCAGTGTGACTGCTTGTTTTCCTAATGACATTAGCAATGTCGTTCCAAGAATACCTTCAGCAACCATCTCTCCCCAGGTTGCAGTTCTCCCCAGTCATAGATTTCATAGATTTCTAGGGTTGGAAGGGACCTATTAGATCATTGAGTGACCCCCTTCTCTGGGCAGGAAAGCACGCTGGGGTCAAGTAACCACAGTCAGGTGTTTGTCTAATCTCCTTTTGAACGCTTCCAAGGTAGGGGAAAGCATCCCCTCCCTTGGAAGCCTGTTCCATAACTTGGCAACCCTCACCATAAAGAATTTCTTCCTGATATCCAATCTAAAGCTACTCTTCAGTTTATGGCTGTTGTTTCTAAAAACCCTGAGGGGTGCCCTGGTAAACAGAGTATCCCCCATTCCCTGCTGACCCCCCCCCCCGATGAGCTTGTAGACAGCGACAAGATCACCTCTGAGCCTTGTCTTGCGGAGGTTGAAGAGATTCGGGTCTCTCAATCTGTCTTCATAAGATCTTACCTGCAAGCCCTCAACCATATGAGTAGCCCTCGTCTGAACCCTTTCCAGGTTCTCCACCTCCCTCTTGAAGTGCAGTGCCCAAAACTGGATGCAGTACTCCAGTTGTGGCCTCACCAATGCTGCATAGAGGGGAAGTATCACCTCCCTAGATCTGCTCGTGACGCACCTACTAATGCAGGAAAGAGCAGGGTTAGCCTTGCCTATTACCTCATCACATTGGCGAGTCGTGTTCATTTTTGTGCTGGCTATGACTCCAAGATCCCTTTCTGCTGCTGTGCTACTTAGAATGGTATTTCCCAGTCTATAGGTATATTGGTGATTCTTTGTCCCCAGGTGCAGCACTTTGCACTTATCTTTGTTAAATTGCATCCTATTCTGATCCGCCCACTTCCCCAGTCTGTCCAAATCTGCCTGAATTCACTCCCTACCCTCTAGTGTGTTTACTATATCCCATAGTTTGGTGTCATCTGTGAATTTGGACACAGTGCTTTCTACGCCCTTATCCAAATCACTGATTAAGATATTGAACAGTGCTGGTCCAAGGACAGAGCCTTGGGGGACACCCCTATCCACATCTCTCCAGGTAGAAACCATCCCATCCACCGCCACTCTCTGGGTGTGTCCCATAAGCCAGTTTTCCACCCACCTGACTGAAAAAATCCATGTCACAGCTACTTAGTTTACTTGTAAGAATTGGGTGCAACACTGTGTCAAAAGCCTTTTTAAAATGCAAGTAAATAACATCTACCCTTACCTCCTTTCTGAGGTTCTTTCAACCTACGATCTGTGGGGATGGTTTGTTGTAAGCCACTCTGAGCCTGCTGGATATGATGGGTTATAAATTTAAACTATAAATAAATTTCCTCTTCCAAACCACTGCAGATATGGTGAAGACTCCCTTCATCATATCGGGCTCCCTCAGAATTGCTCCCAGGATGTGCTGTGGTCATCCTTGTCTTCTGTCCCATTGCACAGTACCTTGCAGAGCCAGTTTTGCTCCATAACTGCCCAGCAGTTCCCTTGTTCTTTGCCTGGCTACTCCCCTTCTGCTACACTGTCTCGCTATATTTGGACAATCTTCTCCACTTTCAAGTATGCTGCTGCTCTCGCTAGGACTGCCTTGGCACTAGGGACTCTTGGAAGCCCTTTGAGCTGAGCAGCTGCTTCCCTGGAAGTGGTGGGAGTGCCCAGCTAGGGTGGGACTCTGCAGAGACGGGCATTGCTCTGGCTTCCCTTGTGCTGCACGTGAAACAGGATTTGCTTGCTTCTGTAAACAGGCAGGCAGCTGTTGCTGAGCAAAGGACCCAAAACACACAGAGGTGGGTCTACAGAGCAGAACAAAGACAAATCTGTTGGCACTGCCTTCCCTTACTTGCCCGGCTGGTGTAATACCTTGGCTGACTGCCAGCTTCCTGCCAGTAGGGTCACATGAGCTCAGGTTGCTCTGCCTGTTTATAGCTCTCTGCCCACAGAGGTGCTGCTTGGCTGACCCCACCAGTGGCTGCTGCAAATCTAGCACTGGGATGCATCTATGGCACTGACTTGATCTGGAGGAGAGTTCAGCACTTGCTAGTCACTGGCCAAGGTAAGCAGTGGCTTGTCTTAGGCTGCAGGTTCTGTCTCAAGGCTCTTGTTAAGCTTTTTTGAGTGGGGACAGCTGGGATGCTCAAGTTGGAGTCCAAAGGGGCAAGGCACTAGAGGGTTCATTTCCACTGGGTACCTTGACTCTGGACATGGGCATGGAGAGGGCAGATTTTGGACTGGGGGAGGGGGAGAAGGGACCAAGGGCATGTCTGACTTAACGTTATGGGTAGTTGTTTGTATATTCAGTGTGTCATATGCTCCAAGTGGCAGAGCTCTCAAGTGTGGCAGCCTTTTCCTCTGATAACAGTTAATTCTGGCTCAGGGCTCCCAAGTGCGTGCTGCTCCCATTCATGAAGTAGGGCTTTGATTCAGGATCCTGAGGCTAATCAGGATGCCACATACATACTAACTCTTACAGGGGTAAGTAGGTTGGTACTATTCTGTTGTGTGGGGAAACCAAGGCATGGGAAGGAGAAAAGATGACATGGAACCCTTGAACCCAAGAGTCTCAATGCCTCCACTTCTGACAACACTACCTGGACTGTCAGCAAAAAAAAATCAAGCGCAGTGGAAGAAAAGCTGTTTGTTCTGGGTGAAGTGTGCCCATATGGGGGTGGATACAGTGGTATAACTCTGGTATTGGGGTAGTACAGTAAAGCTAGCAACACCCCCCCCCCCCCCCCCCCCCCCAGGCAAACAAGCCTGCTGGGCTATATCTGGATCTTTTTCCTCTTGCTCTCTGCAAACTGTTTGTGGTCCTGTTCTCTGCTCTTCGGGTCTGACCTTCAAGGCACTGGGGGAGGTTTGTTGTCTGTAGGCTGGCTGAGTGGTGTGCTGTGCCTCTTTTTGCCTGCTTTTCTAAGGGACTTGCCACTGAGGAAGCAAGCTGCTTTGCTTGGCTTCTTTCCATCTCCCCCTCTTCTTTCTCCCACAGCCAACAACAGGCACTGAGTCTTCCTGGAGACTCCTTGCACCTGGTTCCCAGCTGAGTTCTGATGACCTCTGAGCTGGAGGTGTGTCTACTGCAGTTCTTGCTGATTTTTATTTAGCTTTTGAATGATTGCTAAATTCACTTTCTTGGCTGACAAAATTGTGGGCAGTGAGGAGGCAGCTGGTTCTAATGCTGTGACCCTCTGTCTCCTGCCTGTATGCTGCTCCAAGTGACAGCTAGCACTTCCTGCCCCCTACCTGTCCTCTTGCATTGTGTGTAGGCCAGGAAGGAAAGAACTCGGAGAGGACAACATTGTTTCCATCCCAGTCCTTGGCCTTCCCTCTGAACTGTCTGGGCCTGGAGCTCTTCAGCCTCCATTAAGTACATGCTCCTTCTGGTAGAGTGTTAAGAGGTTTTGATTTTCTCCTCAGGTGTCTGTGTGGGGGCGGAAAAAAAAAACTATGTCCACCATGGTGTATCCAAGGGAGGAGAAGCTGGACAAATTGAGCCAGGAGGAGATAATATCCAACACCAAGCTGGTGATGCAGGGGCTGGAGGCCCTCAAGAATGAGCACAATTCCATCCTACACAGCCTGCTAGAAACCATCAAGTGTCTGAAGAAGGATGAGGAGGCCAACCTAGTGCATGAGAAATCCAACCTGCTCCGCAAGTCGGTGGAAATGATTGAGCTGGGACTTGGGGAGGCTCAGGTGAGAGGCTCTGCTAGGGAGCATGCTGGGAAAGGACCCTGCAGCACAGTGGCTGGGACCATTGCAGGAGGGCTGATACTGCTATGCTTGCCCCAGGGGCTGCACACTTAATCTGCACCTGAGCCTGGTAATGTCTAATCTCCATATCAAGAGATGGAAGGGTTAGGGAGGTTCTTCCTTTATGAAGGTAGTCTTGGCACATTGGGGCGGGGGAACACTTGGCACATTAGGGAGTTGTTCAGCTCCTCTTGTTGGATTAATGTGGCCCCGTTGGTGTTTCTGGTCCAGGTGATGATGGCTCTGTCCAACCACCTGAATGCTGTGGAATCGGAAAAGCAGAAACTGCGTGCTCAGGTACGGAGATTGTGCCAGGAGAACCAGTGGCTGCGGGATGAACTGGCCAACACCCAGCAGAAGCTGCAGCGCAGTGAGCAGACTGTGGCCCAGCTAGAAGAGGAGAAGAAGCACCTGGAGTTCATGAACCAGTTGAAGAAATATGATGAGGATGTCTCCCCTTCGGTAAGAGTTGGTGCTGCAAGGTGCATTAGTGCTCAGAACAATCCCATGGGCGTGAGCAGAGTGCCCAGTTTTTGCAGCCTGAGTCTAGCAGTTCATTTCGCAGTCCCTGGCATGCACCTCATCCCACACCTGCAGGGGCTCCTTTAGCCTCAAAGTAGGGAGGATAAAGGGCGTAGGTGTGGAGTCCATCAGGACTTGGAGCTGGGTTCCCAACCCAAGAGAAGTTGGAGGGGGTGGGAGGGAGGGTGTTCTTATTAATTGACAATCTGCAAACCTTTTAATGATAGCCAAACTTCTTTACTGATGCATGTTTTTACTGATATGTTTTACATGATGTAAATTCCCTGGGATGCTGATAGCACATGTAGCTGGTTTTGTGCTTCCTTCTCTCTCTTTGTCAGGAGGAGAAAGAAGGTGACTCTACCAAGGACTCTCTAGATGATCTGTTCCCCAATGAGGAGGAGGAGCACGGCCCAGGATGTAAGTGTTCTGCTTCATGCGCTTGCACCAAGAGCCCAGGCTGGCTTCGGGAAAACGGGGGTGAAAGCTATGCTGCTCCCCAGTTGACTCCCTTGTGTGTTCCGCAGTGCCCCACCAGCACAGCAGTGCAGCGGCAGCGGCTCAGCAGGGTGGTTATGAGATCCCGGCACGCCTACGTACCCTCCACAACCTGGTGATCCAGTATGCCTCACAGGGGCGTTATGAGGTGGCTGTCCCGCTCTGCAAGCAGGCACTGGAAGATCTAGAGAAGACTTCAGGCCATGATCATCCGGATGTGGCTACCATGCTCAACATCCTGGCGCTTGTATACAGGTAGGGGAGCAGGGCTGTGCTGCTCTACCTGATGTGCCAATACAGGCCTTATGCAGATGTGGAGTCCACCAACTGGCAGAGTCTGCCTCTAGAAAAAGGTTGTGGGTCAGTAACCATCTTGCAATCTGGACCTTGTTAGTATATGTTGAGATCGCAGAAAACTGTGGGATGGGCAGGCCCCGTTGATAGATTGTGGGAGTGTTGTAGGGGGCTGAATTTGAGGGCAGCACAGTGCAGGCTGGACTTTGGAGAAAGCAATGGGTTGGGGGAAAGTCTCTTGGAAAGGGGTGGCATGGCAGTGTTTTACCAAGCTTTGCATGTTCTGGATATCAGTACCTTAGAACTGCAATAATTGCCTGGCTCTGCACTGCAGGGATCAGAATAAATACAAAGAGGCAGCTCATTTGCTGAATGATGCACTCTCTATTCGTGAGAAGACCCTGGGCAAAGACCACCCTGCAGTGAGTATCTTTCACCCTTGCCCTGGGTGTTGGTCCTTCCCCCCGGCATTGGTAGTGCAGGGCTTGGGATTGGTGCCCAAATTCTGTGTCATGCTTCCCTTGTTACCCATGGCTAGGTCATCTCTGGCTATAAGGCTACAGGCTAGGTAGTGTTGCTGGGACTGCAGGTACCCAAGGAGAGCCATATGTGCTGTGGCATTGGGTTGAGGAGATCTCTTTGCAGGGTTGTTACCCAGTACTCTGCCCCAACTCCCCAAGCCTCATGCTTGGATGACTGGCTGTGCTGTCCCAATCCTGAATTCTGTCAAACTCCTCCAGAATGGTATTAATTCCCTGCAGCCTTCCTGAACACCCCCAATACCAGCTGATGGCTCTGGGTTGCTCCTACTTGTTTGAGGTACTAAGATGCTCTTGCTGCTGTCTCACAAGGTACTGTGCAGCAGTGCTGAGTGAGAAGGAACTAATGTCCATGTTCCCACCAACTCCCATCACTTTCTCATTTTTTCTGAGTCCTCTTCAGCTTCATTGGATGTGACTTACGTTTTTGCAGGTAGCAGCAACACTGAACAACCTGGCTGTTCTCTATGGCAAAAGAGGGAAATACAAGGAGGCAGAGCCACTGTGCAAACGAGCCCTAGAGATCCGTGAGAAGGTATCAGCCCCATTACCCACCCTCTTCAGGGTTCTGCAGGAGGGCACCAGCCCCAATTGCTCCTGGTGTGCTGCTTGTTTATTTTCAGAAATGTAGGAAATGGTACCAATATAGCTCCCCCAGTCTGGGTGGGAAGAAGTGTCCCATGCCCTGCAAATAAACTGTCTGGTTCCTGTAACATTCCCTAGTGCTGCTGACCTCTGCCTTATTGTCTCTTTCCTTCCAGCTTTGCTTTCAGACTGACATTATGGCACCTCTTCTCCCATCCTCCCTAACACTTGGGCTTACAGGAGATTAAAGGTCATACACACTGAGGGACCATTTAGAGTCTTCTTGCTTCCTGTCTTTCATTATAGGGGTGCTAGGCAAATGATCATCTAGATAGGGCCCCTCTAGGCAGAACTTGGGATATCCAGGACTCTTGAGGAGAAGCTTCTATGCTATCTCCAAGGGCTTAAAATGGTCTTGAAGGGGCTTCTATCTGATATCTTCCTTCTCTGGCTTCCCAGGTCCTAGGCAAAGACCACCCAGATGTGGCCAAGCAGCTGAATAACTTGGCGCTGCTGTGCCAGAATCAGGGCAAGTATGAGGAGGTTGAGTACTACTACTGCCGGGCATTGGAGATCTACGAGAGCCGCCTGGGCCCTGATGACCCAAATGTGGCCAAAACCAAGAACAACCTGGTGGGTCTGTCTGGGTTCTCCTTACAAGGGGGGGGGCTGGGTAAGGGATGTGGGAGGCTGGGGATACCATCTGCGTAAGGTGGAGGGGGAAACAGTGGGGAACTTTCTGAGGAGGGGGAGCTGTGGTGTAAGGATACTTGTCATCTCTTGGGGCTTCAACCACATGCTCTGTGTTGGCTACAGGCCTCCTGCTACCTTAAACAAGGCAAGTACAAGGAAGCTGAGGTGCTGTACAAAGAGATCCTCACTCGTGCCCATGTGAAGGAGTTTGGCTCTGTAGATGGTACGTACAACTGGATGGGGAGTCTAGTTTGGGTCCTGGGACTGGTCTCCCAGTGGCTGGGTGCAGCGCTCCTACACAGAAGGTATCTCTGCAAGGTTTCACTACTTTTGACACTTGCCTGCCTGTCTCCATGCAGTCTGCTGCTCTCAGCCAGGTGGGGCAAGAAGCAGCCTGTGATGCACCTCCCAGGCTTTGTAGCAATTTGCCTGAAGAGCTGGCCCTAGGTTCTGTTTTGCCATTATGCTGTTCTGCCCTTTTCCTTCCAACTCATGCAGGCAGATAAATTGCTTTCAGCCTCTGCTGGGTCAATGGCTGGTGGGTTTCGAGGGAATCCCTGTTTGGAAACATGTGGAGAGCAGCAACTGTAACAAGCAGGTGCTGTGCCTGTGCTGAGGCATGGGTCCACTCTAAGGAGAGGCCATCAAAGTAGATGGCTTCCCACAGAGAGAGCAGTAGGAGGTATTCTCTGAAGCAGTGGGCACATCCCCCACAGGCATTCTTTGCCTCTTTCCAGGCTGGCCCTGTACCATGCTCCCTTGCTTGCTAGAGAGGCCCCCTGTTTGGAATCAGGGAGCAGTGCTGCAGCTTAGCCCCTCTGAAGGAGCATGGCAAGATAATGAGCAGTGCTCTCCTGTGTTCTTCCTGCACAGATGAGCACAAGCCGATCTGGATGCATGCAGAGGAGAGGGAGGAGATGAGCAAGGTGAGTGACCTCAGAATAGCTCAGCCCCACAACTGGGATGGGGCATGGGGAGAGGGAGAGTTTTGGGGGCTGGAGTATCTTCTGTTTGCCACAGGCAGGAGTTGTCTCTGGTGTGTGTACAACAAAGAGCAGATTCTGCACCTGGTTCTGGCCAGCAGCAGGAACAGGCATGAGAGTGAGGCCCCCAGTGGCAGCCTCTAGGCTTGGGGATAGCATAGTCGTACAGAGGCAGCCTAGGAGGGAGGGTACTGCAGCTACTCACTGGAGCTGATATAGGAGTGGATGACAGTGGGTGGCAGGGATCTAGCTGAAATTTGGAGTGGGGGGTGAAGGTTGCTCTGGCTGTGCCTGCATGTTTTCTCTTTGCTTGTAGTGCTCTCCCTAGGACATGTTGGATGCAGAAGACGGCGGAGAGGCAGTGTTGCTGTACCACAGGAACTTAGCCTCTACTGCTCACCGCACCATTCATTCCTGGGGCAGCCCATAGGGCTGATTGTGGGGCTGGAGAGCCTGAGAAGTGGCAGACAGACCTGGGAGAATGCTGCAGCATGCTGTTGCCATCACCTTTCTAAAGAGCCTTTTGCAATTCATGGCTTAAGCAGGAACAGGTCATAGAATTCTGCCTGGGCCTCCTTTAAAGCCAGGACAATAGGTCTGCCTCTGTAGCCTCATGGAGCACTGGGCCTTGGGAGGGAGGGAGGGTGGGCAGCAGTTCCTGGCTCCTTCCAGTTGTATGGTAGAAACTTTGCAAGCAGACATGCCTCTGCATGGCACTGAGCTAGAGACTTGGAGAGTAGAAGTTCCCATAGCTTGCGTGCAAGGAGGTAGGAGGGCTGTAGTGCCACCATTCTCCTATGGGTCTGTGGTCTCTTAGACCCATGCCCAGCTGGGTTTGCAGATGGGGATTATCTGGAGAAGAGTAGGTTGTGGGGAGGGATCCAATTTGGAAATTGGCAGGTAGTGAAGCTCAGCCCTTGTCAGTAGGCTGGCAGATGAGGGATGGACTGGACTCCCTGTTCTCTCCTGAAGAGTGAAGGGGATGCTTTAGTAAAAGGCCTTATCTTTGTAATGTGGGTGAAAACATTACAAAGTATCTCTTCGTTCGTTCTCCGCTCTCTCTCTCTCTCTGTCGTTTGTTCTCTGTCTCTCCGTCCGTCCGTCTGTCTGTCTCTGAAATGTCCTATACCATCTAGATCTTTGGCCCTTCCAGGAGATGCCAAAGTGCATAGGGGGTGTGCTGGAGTTAACGTGCCCTTCCTATACCAGCTTTCTAGGTTGCTGTGTATGCAGAGAAGTGTTGAGGAGGAGGAGAGCCCTGTCATGGCAGGGCTTGGGTTGTGGCAGCAGAATGGAACTTTTGTCTCTTCTGTGCCAGCTACTCCAAAGCAGTGCCCGGGGTGGGTAGTGGAGGAGAGGGCCTGTACTGCCAAGCTTCCCCTGAAGAAACTGCTCAGCTTATCTAGCTGCTCTCCTCATGTACCCAGAGCTCTATCTGTCAGGCTGCTGCAGGGCTGGGTGGGGGGACATACCCCAGAGCAAGTGTTGGAGCAGGCATGGCTGACATGCATGCGTTTGGCCTGGGTTACCAGGAAGTCTGTGGAAAGGCATTCTCTCCCACCCTACAGCAACTGTACTGGGGAAGGTCTTTTAGCTGCCCGAGATCCTCTACTAGTTACCATCTTTCATGTCTGGATCTTGAGACAGCCCTCATGCCTTGCTCTCCAGCACTTCCACCCCACCTCCTGCTCCCTGTGTATGCTCAGTGTGAACATCCCCTCCCAAAGCTGGACTCCTGTCATGACTGTCACCGTAGAACTACCGTTGTGGCTCAGGCCCTGTCCCATGCAGCTGAGTAGGAAGTAGGGTCTCTGCTGTGTGTATAGGGCTGAAATACGTTAGGGCTACTGCTGAGACTAGAGACTTACTGAGTCTAGTATGGGTGGGCGACAGAAGGGCTGGGGAGGCGGGGATGGGAGGAGTCCATCTCCTGCCCCCCGTCTCTTCCCAGTGCACTCGATAACAGTTTCTTTTGATTAGCAGATGTTGGTGTCCTGGTATCTTCTTACTCTGCTTCTAGGGCTAGTGTAGAGGCTGACAGCTATGGTGTGGATAGAAGAAGGAGGTACTAGATTTTAGTTCAGGGGCATCTTCCCATCTTAGACCTGGAGTGGAGCACTAGCAGGCAGGCTGTACTCTTCCTGAGCTGTTCTCAGTGCTAGCTTACCTCTGCTCCCACCACTCCCTCCCTTACTGTGGTGCAAGTTTTGGCAGCTTATCTGTCTGTCTTCTATTAAAAAATGTCAAACCCATCTTCCAGAGCTTCACTTTTTTTTTCTTGTTTGTTTCATACAATGGTGCTGCGGTGGGGTTAAATGCTGGGAAAGGTGGATTTGCCAGTGTCAAGGCAGTGGTGGGCATGGGGCAGTTTCATTGTTAAACATCTGTGGGTAGGGAGGGTATGGGCTACTGGAATCCCCTGTCTCTTCCTTGGTGAACATACACACATGCAGATCCTGGGCGTGAGGGGTAATGTTGCAGTGCATAGCAGGCCAGTTTCAAAGCATGGGTAAGGAGCTAATGCAGAGCTTGTGCCACAGTCTGTCCCCTACTGCCAAGCATGCTGTAACTCTCCAGAGACGAGAGGCCCTAACTGCAAGTCCTCCTAGCCTGTGCTGCCTAGATTCTTGGAGGCTCCTGTAGACATGGGGACAGGGCTGAAAGGCTTGAAGACTGAGTAGGGGACGTTTCCCATACTCAGTCATCAAGCCAACTGTGTGCTCCATTGGTTCTGGGGAGGAGCCAGATGCATAAGGCCCTTGGCTGTGGGACCAGGCCTGTGATGGGTGCAGGGCCCTTTCATGGGCAGCTCCACCACAAACTAAAGGTTGGTATGGTGAATTTGCTGAGATGCTTCTCCACATGACATTTGACCTTGCCTGAGAGAGACAGTTCTGTTGCAGGTTAGCAGCCTCAGGCTCGGGCAGGGGTCCAGGCATAGGTTGTTTGTGCTAGGTGAATCTCCTGCAGCAGAATGTGAGCTGCCAGCTGTCAGACTTCCAGACCCTGTACAATGAAAGACAGTGCATGTTAGGGTGATGCATGGTCAAGCTTTGGGGCACACCAACCTCCAGAGCATGGGTGTACTTTGCCTCCAGATGGCCGCATGGACCATTGAATTGCAGTGCCCAACTTCCTGCTGTCTATTTCTGGAAGCTGTGTGCAGTCAACCCCTGAGCTGTGGGATGACGGCAGTGGCCCCAGCTGTGCTCTGTGAAGTGGTAATTGGAATGTTGGACATATTCTTTTTCCACTGCTGAGGTGGGCAGCACCTTGTGGCCTATTGATGCCACCACCTGTTCCTGTGACATTGAGACTGATCATTTACCCATGCAGGAAGAGTTGCAGACAGAGGGATCCAAATTCCTGCAGAACACACTTGGCCTTGCAGACAGACAGGAGCTCTGAATATAGCCTGTGGCTACCCACAGCTAATTCAGATGCGACTGAGGCATTTCCCTTTTAGGTGGTCTCAGCAAGTCTGCTAGCTTAGGCTTTGACCTTGCCCAGGTCTTGGTTGTCTTTTGCCAGCCAGCTGAATGAGGGCCTGGTAGAGTGGTCCAGCTCCTAAAGCTCCCCCTGGAGATAGCCAGCATGGTGTCACTCAGATGCTGTCTGTCCTGGGATTTAGTACCTAGGGCTGGGCACTCTTCTTTTTAGAGAGACTTGGCCCAGCAAGGAGATTCTCTTGAGGAACAGGATGCTTGAGCCAGACTGCTGAAATGAGCCTGGTGGATCTTAACTAGCAGTTAAGACAGTCTTTAGAAGAAAGGTGTGGATGTTAGGTGGTGCTAAGCCCCCAGTTTCTGCTGCTTGCCCTAAGATTTGGGCACATACCACCTCAGATAGTCAAGCTGCTGAGATCAAGGGGACTAGGTTTCTGGGCTCTTTAGACCAACTCTGGGGTTCTGTAGTTCTTAATATAATCTCATGTTGTGCTCCAGTGGCTTCATTTGTTATTGCTGGCTCACATTCATTGTGTATGTGTCTTGCTGGCTTGGGAACCAGCAGTAATGCTTGTGGTAATACTGTTTCAATGAGCTGAGGCTGGGCAGTAGGTGAAGGAGCCCCCACTGCACCTGCACCAGCACCAGGACATTCTGAAAACACCATTGCCTGGAGATGTGTTTTATGGTTTAAATTGGCTCCAAAGACCTGGGGGATCTTAGTGCAGATCCCCAGGGGGTTTAGGATTCTGGTGATGGCCAAATGCTGAGCTGCCATAGGCCAAAGCAGTGGAGTAAGACCTAGCAGTGGGTAACTGGGACTCACGGGCAGAGGGGGAGTATGCCTGGGACATGAATCCTGATCTTACACCTACTGGCCAGGCAGGAAGGATGGGGGAAAACAGCCAAAGGCTGATCTAACCATCCCTTTTCTCCTCTTGTCTTGCAGAGCAAACACCGAGATAGTGCCCCTTATGCTGAGTACGGTGGCTGGTACAAAGCTTGCAAGGTCAGCAGGTAAGATAAAAGCTCATTGAATCTATCCATCTGTGCTGAGCTATGGGCCATTGCATCCAACTCTGTAGCTGAACCCTTCTGGGACCAAGATGGTCTTTTCCCCATGTTCTTCATTTGTGCTAGCTGTGTTGGCCTTTTGCAGTGGGTGAGGGGGCTGAGCTGCTCAGGGGACATTTGGCATCTGTATTACTGTGGCTGCTGTTGCTTGTCTTCAGGGAGCCTGGAACTGGGCACTGCAGGGAACCTGTGGCTGCCCACAGCTAATTCAGATGCGACTGAGGCATTTCCCTTTGAGGTGGTCTCAGCAAGCCTGCTAGCTTAGGCTTTGACCTTGCCCAGGTCTTGGTTGTCCTTTGCCAGCCAGCTGAATGAGGACCAGGTAGAGTGGTCCAGCTCCTAAAACTCCCCCTGGAGATAGCCAGCATGGTGTCACTCAGATGCTGTTTGCCCTGGGATTTAGTACCTAGGGCTGGGCACTCTTTTCTTTTTAGAGAGACTTGGCCCAGCAAGGAGAGTATACGGGCCATCCCAGAAGGCCAGGTACCAGGCTTCTTGAGTTCAAAGCTCCTGCTGAGCCACTCCAGTAGCCTGGACAGGACCATGCAAGTTATCAAGAACTTCCCCCCAGTGCTTTTTGCCTTCTTAGTTAATACAAACTCTGAACATAGAATGAGGAAGCCACTGATGCATACAGAGCTGAGTCAGTCCTATACTGCTGGGAGCCAGTTCCAGGAATGCTAGGGACCAATAGGGAGGCTGTGGCCACGGGGATAGTTGAGATCATGTGTCAGCCTCATGTTTCCTGTTGTCTCCCAGCCCAACAGTGAACACTACCTTGCGGAACCTGGGAGCATTGTACAGGCGTCAGGGCAAGATGGAGGCAGCAGAGACACTGGAGGAGTGTGCAATGCGGTCCCGGCGACAGGTAACCCTAATCGCCCTAGGAAGCTGGGTAGTGGGATGGTACTTTGCAGAGAATAGTAGCAACTGGCACAGCCCATCCAAATGGCAAACAGAATTTCCCAGACATTACATTGTTTTGATACTTCAGGCTCTTCTGGTCTGATGTATTTAAACCCAGGACAATCCACAGCTAACCATACACAATGCATGTTTCCTTCTCTCTAGGTCAGGTCTGGCTGAGTATCACAAAGAGCTGGGGGCTTGGAGAAGTTTTTTGTTTTTTTTGTTTTTTTATCATTGATCTAACAGTCTAGCTAGTGATCTCCCTCACGGAGACTTTGGGGGCTGGGAGGAACCTTCAGGGACTGAGATATTGAAACCAAGATAAGGGCTAATTCCTCAGTCCAGTGTTGTAATAAGGGCTTGGTGGAATGGTGTGCCCAAACTTCTACCAAACCAGTGATTGCTGAAGGCTGGAGACTACCAAGCCTATTCCTGTCTGCCAGGACCTCTCTACAGTTAGCCAGCACCCTTTTTTTTTAGACCTGAAGATAGTGCTCTGGGACCACAGGGAGGGACTGAAGTGCTGATATAGCAGAACGATGAAGCCCTTAGACACGTGTGATGTGACAGGGCTAGCCTAGCATGGCTTCCAATAAAGGTGGTCACACCACTCTGGACATTTGGAGGATGGAGAAAGGGTCAGGTAGTTCCTTTAGATTTTAGAAGGCTGGCTAAGGGAGCAATGTGGCCTCGGGTAGTGGCAGAGTGCTGCAGGCAGGGGAGGATCCAGAGGGTTTGTGGTTGCATGGTTGCACCCCCCTCCCCTACACACACCCTTCTGGACAACACTGTGGGAGCAGCACCCAGGGACTCTTTAAGACCCACCCCCCAAGTGGGTAAGAATCCCCTCCACATCCCCCCCCCATGCTCACTGGCACTTTACCTCCCCTTTCATTCCCTGCTGCTGCTGTCCCTGCTGTTTACAGCTGATGTGGGGGAAAGGCAGAAGCAGCTCTGAAGCTCCTGACTCCAGCCAGGACTGTGCAGGAGCTGGCTCAGCTGGGAGTGGCAGCAGCTGCCAGGTTTCCCTTATCTGCCTTGTGCCCTCACCCCCACCACCCATTCTTTCCAGCCCAGGAAGAGACTCAGACAAGTGGCGGCAGTAGGTGGGGGAGGAGAGGAGGGGACATACTGTGGAACATAGAGGGGAAGGAAGGCAGTGTAGAGAACTGGGGGGAAGGAGGGACATTCTTATCTGCTTCAGGGACATCAAAAAAAAATCCTAGGCTTCTGCTCCTGTGGTGCAATTTGGAGGAGGGGGGGCGGAGAAGCTGAGGGGAGGTGCAGCCATCCCTGCAACACTGATCACTGCTCCCAGACCCCAGTTTACAAAATCCTGGATCTGCCTATGGTTGCAGGCAATAGTCTTTGGCTTGCAAACTACCTTATTGTTCTGCCAGTCTGAGTCCTCCAGGCAGTCTGCCTACAGTTTGCATGGTGTTCTGCAGCATGGTTTGATGGGGAATATAGCCCTAGGGACATCTCCATACACAGGGATCTTCCTTCTCCCTTTGTACCCACACCACCCACTTGCTAGATCATCCCAGTAAGCCTCCTGGCATGGGGGTAATTGGTGGTCTATGCTGATCTGTTTTTGTGTCTGATCCTCAGACCAGGGGAATAGCAACATGACCCCCAACAAGTCCCCTGGAGGAGATGGTAGCTAGTAGGGATAGGCCAGTCTTGATTCTGATGCTCCCTTGCTCCATCCTCTCTGCAGGGCATTGATCCCATTAACCAGACCAAGGTGGTGGAGATTCTGAAGGAGGGAGATGGTGCTGAGAGGAGGAGGAGCCGTGACAGCCTGGGGGGAAATGTCAAGTATGAGAATGCCGCAGACGGTAGCGAGGAAGTGAGTATGGGCGTGGAGTGGAGTGGGGTAAGTACAAGTCCACCATCAAGAACAGCCTAGGCCAGCTGTGAGAGGCAGGGGGCAGTAGAGGCTAAGGAAGGTTCCTGCTGGAGTGCTGCCCCCTGCAGTCTCAGGGAGCTGATGGCCTGTCTTGGCACCCCTGTCTGCCTCCATTCATTTCCGGTACACTCCCTTTCCCCCTCTCTTGCCATCAGTCAGCCAGCTCAGAAAGAAGAGTGCTTGGTGCTTGTTCCTGCTGTATGTTTCTGTGGACCATCTGATGAATGGCTTCTGCTTTTGATGGGCTTTTGAGCCTTGCTTGGAACCGTACAGTATAAACCAGTCCTAGCTTGTCCCTAACCCTAGTGTTGGCATTCCTATTAACAACTCAAGCTGCTGCTTCCCTTCTCTGTGGTGTAGGGCTGAGAGCACTGACTATCTCACTCACCACTGTCTCCATATGTGCGTGACTTCTGGGAGGGCTTTGTGGGCATCTGCGGCATCTGCTGTGTGCAGTGCCCTGAGAAGGCACGGTGCTGAAGGCATGTGTGTGTCATGGTAAGAAGATTACAGTTGCAGAAGACTACATATCTCTGTTTCGTCCAGGAGGGCTGAGATTTTTTGGACTCCATGCCCTCCTTTCTGGCTTCCTTATGCCCCTCCAGTGGTTTATAGCAAAGGGAGGAGGTCAGAAGTTGAGTCTCTGAGGGCATAGGCAGGACAGTAGATGGGTGATTGGGGGAGAGGGATGGTTCAGAGAGGTTAACCTGAGAGAGAGAAGACTGGGCAGTCTCTGGCAGATGTTTGTTCTGAGCCTGAGCAGTTTCCTTTTTTTGTGGTGAACTGTGGGTGCCAAAGATCAGGTATCTGGAACCAGCTCAGGTGTGTATCTGGTGTAAGGGACACAGCATGTGATGGGATGTGGGAGGAGAGAATGAATCACATGGGGCTGGTGCTGAGGGGGGCTGTGCAAGCCCTGGTTTAAAGAGCAAAGGCAGCTGTAGTGGTGGCTGCTTCAGCAAGAGGCCCTGGTTGTGGCTGTACTATAGCTAGTACTGGGATATGACTTGAGGCAGAGGAATGGAGCATGTTCCAGGCTGGGTTGGGGTGGGCTTTGCCTTGCCTAGGCAATCCTTGGCTGCCATGGCCTTGGCTATATTAATATACTCCCCCTCACCCTACCTCTCCTAACCCTACCCTACCTCACTAACCCTTTCTTGCTCAGCTATGCCATGCACTAACCCTGCATGAGCTTCTCCTTCATTCCCCACTCATACTCTCTTGCCACGACAGCCAATCAGCATTGGAGTCTCTTGCTGTCTTGATTGTGGATTGTACCCAAGAGGCAGTTGTGAAGTAACCTACAAAGGAAAAGATCGAGTCCCTTCCAGGGGAGCAGGGCTGGGAATGAAGGGAGTGGGTTGGTGGGGAGATCTCCTCCTTTCAGGAGGTCGAAACTAGGAGGAGCGAGGGAAGTTCTGACTTGCATTTTCCTAGCTTCTGGGACCCCTACCATTTGTTTTCTGGAAAGACAAGGAGATGTCTTTCCAGAAAACACTGGAAAGTGTTGCTCCTTTCCACTGAACTCCCTTTCAGAAGAGCAGGGTTGGCAAGGAGCCTTCCATGACAGGGAACAGAGGGGAGTTAGGTTTCCTTTTCAAGAGAGGAAATTGGGGTCTCATTTCTCCATGGTATGGGTGCAACTCACTACTTATCCAAGGGAAGTGTTGGCAAGGCATTAGCTCTGGCAGCTATCTGCTGTGCTATAGAAGAGGACAGACTTTGCATTCTCTGTATTTAGAGAGGCAAGAAGTCTGTACCGCCTGTCAACAGGAACCCGTTCTCCAGTGTGGAGGAAGGGTGAGGAACTTCCCAGGGTAGATCCCCAGCTCCCCCAAGGTTCATATCTCAGCTTGTTTCCTCTGTGGTTACTCCTTGCTGCACACTTTGCACCACCATGCTCTTTGATTTATTTGTTTGTCTTGGTGGTGGCCTGGGAGCTCTTTTCCTTGAGGGCCTGCACCCTGAGCCTAGGAGTTCTTCCCCTCTCTGATCACACCAGTCTCAGGTGAGGGATGCAGATCCCAACCCTCCTTTCCACCCCCTGTACCTCCCCCTTGCCCCACCTCCACCATGCTGCTGGGGCCACATGAGGGAAGTCAGAGCCCTTGGCACATTCCTGTTGGCCTAGGGAAGAGCTCTTTCTTGCTCTGATATGGAGGGCTCAGAAGCCTTACTCTTGACCTTATGCCAGCCACCCTCCTCCCCCCACCAGTGTCTAGATTGTACCAGACCTTAGTGATGACTCTCACTTGCTTGTTTTCTGTTCAAGCCAGGGGCCAAAGCCTTCATCTTCTCCAGTAAACCAGTCAGTGAGCCCAGAAAACCATTGAGTACCAGATGTGACAGGGTGTCCTCCCAGGGGTGGCCCTGGAATTCCTTCAGTCCCATTTTGTGGGCAATCACCCCTTCAGTCACCTGCCACACCTTGCTGTCTTCTACTTTTATGTGAGGGAGTCTGCCCCAGGGCTTCCTAAATTGCTCTCTCAAATGACCAGCAGGTGCCATGGTCACTGCCTTATGGGCTAATTGCATTGCTCTGTTCCACTCCTACACCATGCCTTGCAGATAGCATCTTCATTGATGTTTTCTTCCACTTAGCCCCTCCTCTGGGGTTCCTGGACCCTTAGTGGTCGCACATTCTCAGCCTCACAATCTGGGCTCCTGCCCCCTCCCTGGGTCCCTAGGAACCTCCTCCTGCTCCCTTTAATTCCTCCCCAAACATCCAGACTGCTTGAGGTGTTACCTTCCATGTTGACTGTCAGCCATCCTGCTGAGGTTGTGATCTCTCAGCAGGCTCCAAACTGTTATAACTGGCTCATCTTGGGGCCTGGGCTTATCCTTCCTAAGCCCAACTCTCCTCCTGGGTCAGATGACTGCAGTCAGCCCAGGCCACACCTGCAGGCTAAGAGTAGGCAGGTTGGGGATGAAGTAAAGTGGCAGGAGCACCAAGCCTCCTGCCATGCCAGAGACCCCAGTCCATCTACTGCTGTCCTGCCATTATCTAGAGAGGCTACTGATGGGCTGCAGGCTTCCCTTGTAATGAGTTTGGGCAGGAAGGTCCATGGGAAAATTCAAGGCTGCTACAAAGAGATTTTAGTCTTTCTGACTCATGCAAGTGCCTGAAAGGGTGTATACCCTATGTAAAAAGGATAGATCTGGAGGCTCAGCCTATGTTTGCTTTAGTGCCCCCAGTCATCTGGAGAACCAAGGAACCAGGAGCTGTCACAGGAGCCAGAGAGCCAAAGCAGAAGTTCTAGAAGGGGGTTGCAGCTTCAGTTCATGGGCATTCATTCCAGTGGCTGACCAAGCCCCTGGGTGATGGGGCCACTGATGCAGAATATAATATGCACCTTCTCCATGTGAGGCAGGAGATCCAAAGGTGCCCCATCTGGAGCCACCCCCTGGGGCTATAGCAACACCTGGGGTGCAGGCTTGACCTTCTCTGAGCCTGGGAACAACTCTCCAGGCTCTCCCTGTGAGTTGAGCGAGCCCTCAGCAGACAGCTACTGTAAACAGACAAAACCCAGAGCCTGTGTATTTAAGAACTTTTTTTTGCAGATCCCTCCCTGTTCATGGGGATAGTAAGTACTGGGATACTAGGTACCTGACCTGGCACTTCCCAGCATGACCAGCCTGCCAGTCCCAGCCCTCCCCGGACAACCCTGTTTGACCAGGCTGAGCTCAGTGTTTTGGAGGTGCTGCAAGTCTTCCTCCTCACCCAAGAGTGGCACGTCCCCAGTGGCAGGGCAGACGTGTTCTTGTTCTGCCCAATCTGGGGAATTGCACATGTCTGCTCTCTGGGGTTACCTCCATCCTCACTATGGCCTTATAAATTGTGTCTTTCTCCTCTCTGTGCACTAGGCTTAAATGCCTCCCGAGACTCCCTCTTTCCCCTCCACTACAATCACCTGGATGTATGTGTTGTACCTTCCGACTTTTCCTCCACACCATCCCTTCTTCCACCGCTCCTGCTTTCCTCGGCAAGGACTCCACGCCAGTCCCCAACCTTCCCAGTGCGCGAGGGGCACCACAGCACCTGCAGAGGAATGCCCGACTGTATGGGGCTCAGCTACAGTTCTCTCCACCAGCAAGAAAGCAGGAAGAATCCACGTGGAATTGCCTGCTCCCCTGGCCAGGGTTGGGCTATTCCAGGGACTGGGAGGAACCCACTCGCCCCCACCTCTTGGGTCCTGTCCTTATTGAGGCCTGGATGAAAGGTCCTGCTGATGGAAAGCATCCCCACTCTGTGTGCAACACACACACCCATGGACGTGCATCTTCCCAACCCTTCCCAGACAGCTTTCTTCTCCCTCCCTAGAAGTCAGGGAAGAAGGAGGTGCAGGCAGTGTCTCAGTCCATATAGGTCTCTACTGTGCTGTGTGTAGTTCCATTTCCAGGCCCCTGCCGCCGCCCCCCCCCCCAGCTGTGTTTTGGAACTAGAATGACCCTTAGTGTGCCTGTATCAATGGCTGGCCCTTCCCCCAGCGCCAGATTTGGCCAAAAGCACATGTGAGCTAAGTGGGTTGTGGCAGTAGCTTTGGCCTACCCACTCCCCTACATCTGGGCTCCGGTGGCCCCATTGCCATGCAGGAGGGAAATATGGGACTCCTTGACCAGATACAAGGATTGAAGCAGGTGGCAAGGCAGAGGGCTGTCTGTGGGGAGGAATCGCTGTGCAAGCAGTGAGGATTGAACCCCCTCTTGCAGTATGCCTCCAGAATAGGGTTGGGGCAGCAGCTAAATGGCGCAAGCTGGGACAGGGAGACGTCTTTAGGAACAGGAACTGATACGTGGTTAGGAGTGCTTCCATCTGCAGCTCATTCAGCCCTGGCCCTTTTGCTGAGGCTATAGGCTGGAAGAGTCCAGCTTGTGCCCTCTCATGACTCCTGGAATTCTAAATTTGGATATACCCAAAGGCTAAGCATATCTAAGAAAACAGTTCTGAATTGCCAGATTTCCCCAAAAGCTCCTTGCAGGCATGAGGAGGAGCAAGAAGCAGTGTAGTCTTCCACTCCAGGAGAAGCAGTCAAGGAGTGGGGGTAGAGGGCAGTCATGCAGCCTTCTCGGCAGAGGGAGGCAAGAGATGGGCAACAGCTAGAGCTCTCAAGAAATGGCAGCAGCCAAGGAATGGGGATACTTGCTCTACAGGTGACTGCAGGAGCAAGTGCTCTTGCTCCAGCTGGTGTCTCTGATTTTGGGGAGGGGTGAATTGTGGGTAGGAGCAGTTTGGAGAGAGTTTGCAGCTAAGGTAGGTAGGTTCTAGAGGAACATGGGGGGAAGGAGGGTCTGGGCTGGGCCTGGGGTGTGATTCTATCACGGTGGGGGACATCAAGCTGCGGTTTCTTGGGCAAGGAAACATCTTCTGGGCAGAAAGAGAGAGCTTGTTTCTGAGGGGTGGGGTGGGACTGACACAGAGCACCTGCTGCTTTTGCCCTTCCTAGCTTGTGTCCTGAGACCATGCTTGGCTGCAGTGACTTTTTGCTAGGAACTGCCTGTCCTAAGTCAGTTTCTTAACACTTAGGAGGAGGCTGTGTGTGTGTGTTGAGGGGGGTGGGGGGGTAGAGTGGCTGGCAGCTGCCCCTCTGTCTGTCTTTCAGTGTGGGATTGACCAGGTTGGATGCTCCCTGCTGTGGAGAAAGGGCCAGGTGCTGAGGCTGGGTTTGTCTGAGATCTGGGCTGATACCAATAACTCCTTTCATGCAGCAGTTTGAGCAGCATGATGGATTGGTTCTGCTAGTGGGATGGGGCTGGTGATCAGAAGAAATCTAGTGCTGCAGGCCCCTGTCAGCAGGCAGACAGTGGGCCCAGGCAGTTTCCAGAAGTCCTAGGACTAGCTGGAAAAGGGGGAGACAGATGCAAAGTGCTGTTGGCTCCTTACCATTTTGTGCCATGTTATTTAGGATTTTCCTTAAAGCCCCAGCTCCTGGAGTCGGGTAACCAGGTGTAGCTTCTAGCTTTTGTGACTGGGAAGTAAAATCTGGCAGTTGCCCTGGGTGCAGCTTACTTGATCAAACTCAGAAGACAATGAAAAAGAAACCCATTCCTTCCATATATTTTAATATGCATGATTTTGATTGCCTTGGGCTGGTGGAGGCAGATGTGTCTGTATCTGTGGCACTGGCTCCTTTTGGACCCTACACCCCGCTCTCCTTGTGCAGTGACCCAGGGCCCCTGCACTGTGAGCCTTGGAAACTTTGACCTTTAACTTTAAGCACGTGCAATGCTGGGCATGATGTTAGGCTCCATTTGTGAGCCCTTATGGGGAGAAGCATGGCAAGAAGAGTATTTGTCCTAGGGCTCAGAGACCTAGTTAGGGGGTGCCTAGTAAGAGAGCAATCCATTTTGCCATTGGGCTTGAAAGAAGAGGGTGATTTATTAATGTACTTTCCAAGAATCCATAACCTGCCTGTGGCCCCTCTGAGCCCTGATGTCAAGTTGAATGAGGGTACAGTGGGGTATTCTCTTTTTAGCTTGTTGTACAAGGACCTGGAGGTTGAGTAATGCCACAAGCCTAGAAGCTGGTGCTGCTTCCGTGCTGTATCTGTACAGGGCATTTTCATGGAAGGAAAGAGGTAGCCATCAGGCTAGTGCCCACTCTTTAACATGCTGCTGCCCCAAGTGAGAACTGTGCCAGGACACTATGAAGAAACCTCTGGAGGGGCTCTTTGGCTGTTGCTCCCAGTGCCTCTTTAGAGAGCTTTAAGCAAGCCCCTGCCCTTGCCCCTGCTTCTTTCTCTCCTGTTGGTGCCTGTGTGTGACTCTGCCCTCTGCCTGGTGCTGGGTTATTCAGAGGCTGCCTTACAGCAGTGGGAGTGGGGATCATCTCTGCCATGGCACTTCTGCATTTGGACCCGGGGCTTCTCATTGATGTTGTGAACTAATGTACCTCTGATTAAAGGCAGACAGACCTGACCCGCTGCCCTGTGCTTCTTTCTGTGCTACATGGGCTAGGGCTTACTGCCCCTGCCTCCCAGCCATGAGACTCGGAAACCATTTGAGCTGATGTTGTGTGCATCAAGCTTTCATCATCTTTGGGCCTGCATATGCTGCAGCTGTCACCATCCCCCTTGCCCAGCCTACTCTGCCTCAGCTTTCCTGATACAAATTGTGAGTGTGAGAAGTGTGCACGTTTGTGACTGAATGAAGGGATTGTGTGCACACATGGTGGCTGAGAAGTGAGCAAGCCTGAGGAGGAGCCTGCATGTGGGAGAGGTTCCTATTCCTCATGCGACATGCATCCAGTTGAGGGGAAGGGGATGAGAACTTGATGTAACCTGGATTTAAAGGTGAGTGAGTCCTGTTGAACAGCTAATGCCACTGAGTCACAGAACAATTAGAGGTCAAACCTGCCAGGATGGGTGCCCAGCTTTAGGTGCCTGTGTGGAGGGTCTGGCTTCCATAGGTGCTGAGAGCTTATCTTCAGGCCACTGGAAATGCAGGGTCTTGAGACATTTGCGAACTTGGGCCCTTGTTGTCTCAGGTTGGACATGTCGCATTAGAGACCCCTTGCTGCTATAAATGAGCTGCCCATGGACATAGAACTCCCAGGTCTCTTGATCCACAGCCTTTGTCCATCTGTTGCACCATGCTGCTTACGGTTCAGTTCCAGGGTCACTGCTGTCTTCTGCTGTGGGAAGGTCTTCCGTCCTGCAGCCAACATGCTTAAGAGACAGTCCAGCAGCTCTGAGGGTGAGGTCCCCTAACACCAGAATCGCACAGGAGGCTAGCTGAACTGGCTGTGCTCAGGCCTGGAGGACTAGGGCTTGGTCAAGCAATAGTGCATGAACTACTGAAAGTAATACCCGGGGAGAATGCATTTGTAGCTGTGTTTGTGTAAGAGGGGTAGTAGTTCATGGTCCCCGCCTTACTGACTACAGGAGCATTGCCTTCACCCAGCAATTGCCAGCATAGGTCACAGCTGGGGCCCATCTAGCCCCAAGTCCTGTTTCTGGGAATAAGCTGTCCTAGAAGCAGTAGTAGCTCTGGATTAACTTGCAGAGGAGTGATTTCTTCCTAACAATTTACCACAGGCTGCTTCTTGCCTTGAAGCAGAAGGGTTTGTATTCCTGCCACATCCCTACTGGGTGCAGAGAGCAGCCGTAAAAATGATGCAAGGGCCAGAGAAAATGATTATCCTGAGAAACTGGAAAGCTAAGCAAATTGTGTGGTATCAGGAAGTAGACTGAGAAATGACTTGATTGCAAAGTACAAATAACTTCATGATGGGAGAGGTGCGGGGAAACGTGAGGCATTAAAGAACACTTTAGTCAAACACTGATGATAATAAGAAACAAGGCAGGAAGTTGAACCAGCTTCTCACTTTTGTATAGAATATAGCATTTGCTGCATATTTTTTATAGGGGAAGCTATCTGGTACGGTGCAAGGAGCTCCCTGCAAATGTCAGCCTCTCCACATACCTCTGCTTGGGGCCTTTTGAGGTTCCTTGGGCTTCTTGGATCTTGATACTGTACCATCTGCAGTCTTCTCATTTCACATACTATGATTTCTGTCTGTACTAATTACATTGTTATATCATTAGGATCTGCAGGTTTGTTTGTTTGTTTGTTTGTTTGTTTTTAGATATGGCACTGATTCCCCAGGTCCAAGCTCAATGTGCCCTTCCTGGGCAGTTTATAATCAACTGTAGTGAAGGGACACTGCCATTTTCTCTTTGCAAGGCATTCCT